TTTCGATAGAATTTGTTATTTTAATGATAAAGCCATATCTGAGATTAACAGTTGTATTTTCTTAATTATGTAAAGAAGAGAAGACAGATTTTTGGACTATTATAGAAAAAATAATTGCGGATTTTCTCGGAAACTTGAATGGTGAAATAAAGCAAAAATAGTGGATGTGTAACGATTGCTTTCTGGGAATGACTTTTGAGTACATTGATATGTAATACTATCCATTTAAGAAATGGTAGTTACATGTCACAGTTTGGTGGGAATCTCTAGTTTGAGATATAGGTGTACTCAAAGTCATGTTCTTTAAATCCATCAAGAAAAATCTTGAAAATGCTAAAAGAGGCGCTTGCATAGAAACTGAAAGATTGTCGATGTGACCCATGACATGAAACCATATTATTTTGGGAGGAGAATATTCGTGTTTCCGGAATATATTGATCTTTAGGTTTCTTTGAATCCAATGAGTTGTTCTGGGTAAACAAGCTCACGTCTCTAGGGAAGCACTCGAAATTGCTGTTATTAAGAGATACGATTTTCATAGGGCTCCAGAATTCTTAAAGTTTCTACAGAGTTGCTTTCTGTTTAGGAAGAAAGCCGCTACTACAGCAACTTTGTACAATTATGTTTCTCAAAACAATTTAGCTGTTATGGACGCTTGGAGATTCAAGATGAATTTTCATGTCTAACATTTCGACAATTACTTCCTGTCTTTGATGAAAATTTAATTTCTTTCTCTCTTTCAGTAACAGAGGGTTCGAAAATAATGAGTGAAGTAAAATATTCGGTTATCAAGTGCGGTATTTACTAAAGCAAAAAGGGGCTCTGAGAGACTCGTGTTTCACAATAAATTCCTGTGGTTTTTCTCGGAAACTTGACAGAGTGAGAACAAGTTATTTTAATTTTAACAATTAATTTCAGAAATCGTTAATGCATAAATGTATTGCTGTTCTGGGCGTTGAGTTTCAATCTGTTTACTCCATTCATCGTGCCACTGTTTTGACAGTTTCGTTTGAAGTACTACACACGAAAGGATCGTATTCTGTGTATTGCTAGCTATTTATTTACAATATATCGATATCTTGCGCAAGAGAAAACTCTAAGTTTTAGACACAAAGAGACTCGTACTTTCTTGAGAATATGATTAATAGCTAGGGGTTATTCTTGATTTTCGAGTGAAATTTACATACACCTGTCAAATATGATAATAAGACCATTGCCTTAATGAATGAACTTGCTTGAAGGAGCATATTCTTATATAATTATCAGTGGCGTGCCCATCGAGATAAATTCAATTGACGTGCCTATGTTCGCCGCTTTTTTAAACTCGGTAACTTATGCTTGCATACTTCTAACAGTATTTCGTCACACTCGCGACTTCATGGCCGTTTTAACTAAGTAGATTTGGGTTATGAAGCATTAGACATTCTATCCCGGAAAATTTTAAATTCAGTTTTGCTGGTAATATCAGCCATTTTTTTGAAGCTAACGCTCGTAACTGAAATGTCTTACCGCTGCTACGTAAAGTCTGAACAATTTCGATCGTCTTCAATTTTAAAAACCTTTGTTATTCAAATATCACGCAGCCCATAAACATAGGAAGAAACTACTAAAGTTTCAAAGAATCCTTCATCATCTCTTCAGCTTTTATACAAAAACCCAATTGAATGCAGATAACCTGCTTCGCGGGAATCGTAAAGGACTTTTGGTGGGCATGCAGTTCTGGCTCTTTACTCTGTCCAATCATATTGAGTAGAGTCACACTGACAAATATCCTCACAATTATTCGTTAGACCGTTCCTACTACGAATGCTCGACGAAGCTCTTTTCAGATTGTTACTCGATCATAGGGTTTGGATTTCGCACATATAGGAAATATTTTGTAAATAGAAGAAGTTACATGATATCTTGAAATTCAATCCAACTTAAACACACGTTCAAGTATGTCGAACTTATTGACTAGAGCATCATATGATATATATATATACTCAAATGAAGTTTTGATTAAACATTACCTTAACGATATTTTATCCAAACTCGAGCCTCCCTCACTACCGACATAAACCTGTCTGGTTTCCATCTACTAGAGCGCTTATATCGTAAATATGTTGCAGTTTGCCGACGTGGCAAAATATACTTTCAGAAGAGCAACTATAAACGTTTGTCTCACGATGTAGCCACTTCGGATGCGATCTACATCCGAAGTGACCAAATCGTGAGACAAACGTTTACATTTCTTTTTTGAAAGTACTATAGCGCTGTTACGAACAAAGCTCGACAGTTGAACCAGAAATCGACCAAAATACTATCAGAGATATAATTTCATACTTCATATATTTGCAACATGAGAAGGAGACATAAAAAAATTTCTGTACCATTTGAGAGTGTCACCTGTGAGCATTAGTTCAAACTGAACAAGAATTGCTAGCGGGAATTTCGTATATCTCGGTAACTCCACATATTCTAAAGAGACGACAAATCAAACTTTCCTTCGCATAACATGAAGCCGAACCGGACAAACCGGAGAAGGTGAGGGCCACTTACTTGCAATGAATAAATGACTCATGTGTTTGCTGGTCTATATATCTTCAAACGTTGTGGGAAATTTGTCGAAGAAAGATCTAACACCCGGGACTAGCGGCTGAGTTTACGTTTTTCAATTCAAAATGCACGTTCGCATGATTCTAATTCAGAACTTGCGGCACTTTTAATTTATATCCTTCCTTAATAAAGCATATCACAGTTACTCGAGACAAGAAGAAAAATCAGTAGCACTTAGACACTAGTTGTATTCTACCAGCTTGAAAACCGTGAGACTTTCATCAATTTCATTTCCGACATTTTCTCATCAGTAAAGCGTTTTTGTTTGCATGTGTAAGTTAATCAGCTTGAGTGGTATATTCTGGACATTACTCACCTAATATTGGAGAACCTCCATTTCGATTTTAAAATAGAGCCAGCTATGTGTCCACTCTGAGTAGACAAGGCCACATCCACTGAACAAATAGCATGAATCGAAAAGCCTTAAAAATACAGCTACTCGAGACGTCAGCATTCTAAGAAATAGGGAATATTGATTCGTTCTCTGATTTCCGCGAAATCCAAAATTACAGCAAATTTGCATATGTCTTTCGAAACCAGTCATTGTAGATCGCCTAGATGGACAGAGGGTTAATTTTTTCCTCCGGGGGCGTGGGTGGGAGGGGATCACATGGTTTTTAGGGGATAGGAGGGGGAACAGAGTATTATGGAGGGACTTAAGATGATTGACCGCCAATTAACAACCATAGACACAACTAAGAGGCTACGACAACCCCCCCTTCCCCGGCCATAAATAAAGACCGGTCTCATAGGTGTTTTGCACGGTCGGAGATTCAAGATGATTTTCTATGTCCATTTAGTAAACGATATCATAAACAAAACGTTCGTTTCACTCGTCAGTACTGATCATTCCCTTGGTAATTTGAGGTTATAAGATAAAGAAGTGATATCTTCCTTTACTAATTGCAGTGTTTCTATGATTAAAAGTGGGACAGAAACGTGGTACACATGAAATTCAAGCAGTTTTCATGGAAGCTTAAATAAAATTTAAGAATTGTTACAGTGTAAAATTCCTTGGAAATCGATCTGTCTTGGAGGCGAATCCCGAGAAATGTTTTCAATTCAGCAGAATGTATCGGGCTGCCAAGATTGACGGCATGAGCTGACGCAAGGAACAACAAGGCTTACAAGAACATACCGAGAAGGCTTGAAGAGCAGACCATCGTAAAAGTTTTATTTCTAACAAACCAACATGGTTAATTGCGTCAAAGTTCTTGGCCACAAAATTGTTATGCCAAGTACTCAGACATGACTAATTAAATTTCCACGAGACATTATTATTTTAGTGGTTTGGCTGCAACCTCTCGCACGTCAAGTCCAAAGCCAAATAAGAATGCGGAATGTAAATAATTAAGACTGTTTATTCGATTGATAAAAAAAGCCAATTTCTCATGAGAGTAGAGATTTCATAATGTTTAAATAGCTCGTATATTTGATCATGAAAATATCCCGAGTTAAAGACGTTAACGGGCCTCCTCAGAATAAAAAGAACTAACGGCATGATGAATTTGCTTGAGAAACTGACAGCACAGGGGTAATCTTTGCATCGTGATATGTCAGCACTCTAATCAAATTTAGTGAACGAGGAGGCATATGAAGAGAATCCCGTCCTTTCTCGACATCTATCTCATGTGGAAGAACATAACAGATATCGATTCCTCTCCTTGTAAACCACTTTTTTGCTCTATTTGCCCTTCCAACCCAGGGTTTAGGAGGGAAAGCCGACCTTAATCAAATGAATTAATTGCAGGATGGTGCTGCTCTTACTTATAAGCTCCAAAAAGCTTGACTGATCAAATAACAGAAATTAATTGTTTTAAATGAAAATTCTCGTCCATAAAAAAGGAATGGGAATCGTCAGGAATGGGGCGGATTAGTTAGAAATTGCGTTATTCTTCTGCGGCATTCTTTTAATACTGTCGTACACCAGCGTGATTTGCTCAAGGAATATGATCCTGAGAACATTTTTTCTTTTAAAGAAAAATTAAAACATATTTGAAAAATATTATGAGCTTTGGGAACTTTTCGAATGCATTGTTAAAACGTCGGTTCCTCATTATTACCGAAACTGTTATTGTAAATCCTGACTGCTGTTCCTCTTTTCCCCTCTCACTTCTTTTTCCTTTCTTATTTCTTCTTTTCTCCTCCTGAAAGTTGAAGACACCGCGGTAGATAACAGGAATTACTACAACGCATGATGACACAGAAGTAAAGCTCTCTTTTCGTTGTTGTTTGGAGTTACCGAGGGAAAGGTTATTTTGAAAATATCCGCAAGGAAAACGAAGACTGGTTCGAGTTACTGAGAAACTCGAGATATCGAGGATAAAATAATAACGACTTTATTAACTGCTAACTTGGATACTTTACTTACTTGGGAATTCCGTCTCCGGGAAATCCTCTAGATAACGGTTGATAAACAATCGTATCGGGTACTTGTTTCTCATCTTTTCTATTGGCAAGTCTAGTTTTTTGGCCATCGACAGTCCTTCACGCATCATTTCTTTCGCTTTATCCTTGTTTCCTATCTCGTCATGTAAGATGGCCCATAAAGTCTTGATTCCGACCTTCCATTCGTGATTCTCTTCTAATTCTCTCTCGGCAACTTGTTCTGCCTTTGTGAATAAAGCCAACGCCTCATCAAAGTTTCCTCTTCTCTGGTGACAAGCTGCGCAATTCTTTAAGGTCAGGATGCTTTCTTTGCTTCCACCCTCGACGAGATCGTCGAACATTTCTATGGCTGCGTTATAATACTCGAGGCAAAATTTTAAGTCGTCGTCCTCTTTTGTTTCTCCACCGAGGAAAAAACGAGAGTCCGCAATGGCTTTCAGGGCTTCGGCTGTCATAAAATGTTTACCAAGGCTCTGTTGAAAGACTTCTAACGCCTTTCTTAGCTGTTCTGTAGCTGTATCACGCTGCTTGCGGCGCTTGGCATTGATTCCCGCAAAAAGAAGAGTTGCTGCTGTTTCCGGATGAAGATTACCCAAACTTGTACTGCTGACTTCTAGAGCTGATTGAGTCTCGTGAACAATTCTTTGGTTTTCTTTAGGATCTTTTTTATCGGAAAGGAAGCGTGCATAACAGTTGTGAAAGTAAACTTCTGATAACGGATTTTCTTTACACTTTGCAGCATTCAGGAGATAAATTTCTTCCGCTCTATGCATAAGTTCGCTGTACTTCTTTTGGTCTTTCTTCCTATATTCATTTCCAAGAAGACACGAAAGTTCTACAACACGTACTGGCTGAACAGTTGAGTCAAATGTGTCCAGCAACTGTTCAAGGAACTGGGCATAATTCTTTGGATGAAGACACTTTTCCAAATACATGCACTTCTGTGGAAAACTCTCCAAAAGAGTCTGAGAGCGTTCCATAATTTCTGCATCCTTTTTCTCCCTTCCTTGGGCATAAATACGAAGAAAATGTACGAAATTGTTTCTGTCCTTGTTAAATGAAAAAAGGGATTCCTTGCAACTGCCTCTTTTCCAGTACAATTCGGCGTTTTTCGCAAGGCAAGCCATGTAATAAATACAGGCCAGTTTTTCTCCTTTAGCTAAAAGATCGGCATACTTGGCCTGACCAATCTTCCTTGCATACAAGTGAATGAGTGGATGCATTTGATACCTCTGGGAACTTGGTTGCTCGATGAGCGAACTCTTTTTCAAGGAGCGAATAATCTTGATGGGCTGAATTCCAGGAACTGAGCACGCTTTCATTACAGCCTCGGCAGCACCTGAGTCAAAAGACCCCTGGAAAGTAGACATTAGAACGAGGGCTTCTTGTCCAGCTTCAGTCAATAGATCAAAAGAGGTCTTGATGGCCTTTTCTACAGATCCTTCATCGTCTTCTAGTACAGCAAGTGGTTCTTTCTCCAGTTTTTTAATCAGGGTTTCTTCGGTGTAATCTGAAAGCAGAGATCCAACAATACACAGGGCCAGAGGAACGCAGCCACAAAGTTCTACAATGCGCTCTGCTTTAGAGAGTTGTTGCTGGAAACCTTGTTCGTGGAGGTGAACTTGAGCAACTAGAAGACTTCTGGCCTGTTCGTTTGACAACTCGCGTAGCCTGACTTCTTTTGGTTTCAGGTCGGTATTTTGAAAAGTTCTTCTTGTAGTTATTACAAATGTGACATTTTGTCGCGAAAACATTCTTACATCACGTAAGAAATTGAGGAACAATTCTCGATCTTCAGACTCGATGACACCATCTGCATTGTCAAGAACAAAAGTGACCTGCTCTTGAATTTGTTTGCTCCAGTCTTTGAGCCACTGCCCCGGATTCTCTGGTACCTGCGTGTTGACCACTTTAAGACATGAGTTGATCATTTCCATAGTCGTTTCGTTGAAAGTAGTCTTTGATGATAAGCTACAAAACAACACAGTTCTTTCATTCTCGGGTTTGGCTAATTCACAGGCCACTCGCTTTGCTACGGTCGTCTTTCCGAATCCCGGTCCACCAGTGATCAGAATTACAGGAGCCGTTCCACTTTGAACTTTTTCTTTGATGTCTTGTATTTGATCACCACGGCCGATAACATGTTCTTCTGACAAGTCATCAGGAAGACAACTGGAGAGTTCAGAGACTTTTCCAATCTTCTCAAGTTCTTTCTCCCTCCTCCATTGTTCGAGTTCCTCTTCAACCAATTGAGCTTCGTGATCGGCGGTAGCACTCTTCAGGGACTGTAGTTTCTTCCGATGGGCGGCAACCTGAAGTACTTCCAAAGACGAAGATATTTTATTCCATTTGTCTTCGAATTCGTCATTCGGAACTCCAGTAGGAACACTGTGGCAAAGCTCATTTCTATAGCATTTGATACGCACGATGCTGGCTTCAGGGCTGGCATCAGTGTCGGCAGGCATTTTGCGCCATCCGGTCGAAGGAGCCGATAGATGACAAATTTCACGGAGTAGTAAGTGTAAGAGGGTGATGTCAAAGTCTTTCGAGTCTGGCGGTTTACCTGAGGAAGGAAACAGTTTCTCCCACTGTTCATCAAATATTACTCGCTTCCGCCTCAGCCCATCGAGCTTTGGGCGATTGTTGTTCAATGCGTTCTGTAAGGTTGACTCTGGATGTATGGAATGCAAGAATTTCATTAAAACCTTTGTTCCTTCGTCAATAAGCAGTCTTGCCAACCTTGTGCCATTCATTTTTTCTTTCGAGAGATCCGCCACTGAGGGTCCACCAAGACTAGCAGAAGTTGGTGACGATGTTCTGCCGGCTGCCATGACCTACTGTCAAAGCTATTACAAAGCAAATTCGTTTTGAGAAGGATAAGAACGTTAGCTTGTCTTCAGATAACCACGAATTGCGATTTTCAATCGACACGAATTTTATAACCAGTCTACAGGGAAATCTCCCAATGAGTTCTGGGAATAATTTTCTATGGTTTCCGAGAAAAATCATTGTCTACGGTTCCTGATTGGTGCGGTTAAGCTCCCGCTGTGAACCACAAGCCAAACACCATTAGAAGTCTTTGGGAACTACTAAATTTAGAAATGTTCTGACTAAGTGTTTGGGTTTTGTTTCGGCCTGTTAGATTATCTTGAAATCCTTGTGAGAGTCTTGTGACCCTTGGTTTGTCATGTGCTGCAAGAACACACATTTATTTTTACTTTTTGAGTGATTTGTCCTCGACCATTGTAATATGGCTTAACTCTCGCACGGTTTTCATCATGAATAGTCGTGTATGGGCTTGTCCTTAACCTTGCTTAGAGTCGTCAACGGAAAGTGATGTTTAGGTTTTAGCGAGTTCTTGAATATTGGTTTTGTATATACTTTGTTGTTTATTTCGAATGTCTCGTGAAATTGTTTCGGTTAGCATTCTAAAAATATGTTCACTCGTCCAAGGTCAGTTGTCCCGTAAGCCCAAACATGCCTACCGTTATTTAAAAGCGTGACCAAATGACCGAATGAATTAAAAGTGCTTGATCAGACCTCTGGTGCCTCCGCTGGCACGATTGCTCAAGCTAGTTAACCTTAACAGTCCAGTAATATGAATATAGTGACTTTCAATTGACTTGCATTTTCTTCTTTAAGCAATATTTGCTGCTTCAAGAACGAAGCTATACAGTTCTGTAGTTAAAAATTAAAGTATTCCAATGACGTAAAGTACCTGTGACGGATTCAAAACATATTGACAAGCAATTATTCCGGATTTTCTCAGAAACTTGGAGAAAATATAAACAAATACACAATGGACTTCTCTCTCGGCATCATTGCTAAGTACACGTCATATGCGATATAATCCATCTATTGTTAGCATGCGAGGGCAAGTCTCAAGTCACGGTTGGATCGGAATCCCGAGTTTTACATGCAGGTGCATTTAGAGTTAAAATCTCGAACTGAACGGCGCGGTTTTTTCTTATTCGAAGTTTAAACGTTTCCATGAAATTTGAAAAACATTTTAAGAGCCGTCTTCACAGAGCCGAAAAGATGCTAGACGTGACCCACAACATGACACCATTTCATATGGCAAGCCATTCACGACAAAAATGGATTAAGTCCAAAATTACCTATCGAATTTCAGTGATCGATATGTGAGATTGGGAAATTACTGCATGGGAAATAGAAATCATTGTGCGAGAATAAAATACTGTCATGCGAGATTTTAATTACCCATCGAGAGTGAAAAAACATTAATTGAGAAAAAGACTGACGTAGCAATGTACTGAGAAATAAATATTAACTGTTGACAAAGAGAAATCACTATGCGGATTTATCGACTGCTTTTTCTGAGCCGGTGAGCAACAGCTAGGCAGCGGAGTGTATTTTGGCGGGAAATTCTCTCATCCTCGAGGAGTCCTCGTTCGCTGTCGGATTCGAGCAAATGGTGCAGCAATCATAACAGCAACTGTGTCAACTTCTTGAGGAAGTACGAGTATTATCAGAACAAATGTCAGCCAACTCAATCAAATGTTAATGCTGAGGTATCTCGTGTTTTTGGACGCTCGCATGGTAGACAACGTAATCCAAGCTCGAGCCTCCATCACAATGCAAGATCTGCAAGTTTCTCGCACTTTAGACGAATAACAAATATGAGGCAAATCAGTACTTCAGATCGCAAGCGAAAGAAAACACTCCATTCTTGTGCGATTGAATAATACTTGCTGGCCCAACAATCAATGTTGTACCACGACAGGGAAAGAGGATGGCACTGAGTGAGCACGGCCATATTCTTAATGCATGTCAATTTTTTAAAGCCATGAACGAAGCACAAGTTGAGACCATCGTTATGAGGCGTTTGGAGAAGCCATTCCTCGCCTTGTAGACATAGAGATCCCCATGTTAGTCCATAATAAGCAGTGTGGTTTCATTTAAACTCATCAGAAATGTAGTCTTCGAATGAGTTATTATTGTTAAGTGTTCGCCTGAGTACATCTCCAGATGCCCACGCAGCATAATTCTTACGCCTAACACGGTAGAACTTTTTTCCGCATCCACTTACGAAATAGCTTATGTTTTACAGTGTCGATTCAAGACGAGAACAAAATCAAATAGAAAAGCATTCAAATGTTTTTTTTACCAGGTAAAAGAGAAACAGGCGTAAATTAACCACCGTAAAGAATTTAAAGGCTGACGTTCCGAGTGTTAGCCCTTCGTCAGAGCGAATGGCGAAGGGCTGACTCCTAAAACATCAGCTTTGAAACTCTTTACGGTGGCCAATTTACGTTATCAACTCAGTTGATAATACTAAATTACCCTTTTATACTCTCTACCGACGCGGCACCAAAGTTTCTTTAGAAACTTACCCTCTTTACTCGTTTTTCATGTGAGATTGAATTACTTCCTACGAATGAGCCTCGGCACTTCTCATTAGTAAGGTAATATTTTGTTTCGTTAGTTATTCAGCTATTCCAACGTAGTGGTACCGTATACTCTGATACATCACTCACCTCAACGTTGGTGAACCTCCATTTCATTTAATGGTGCACGCTACGCACACGCTTGGCTCTGAGTAGACAAGATCTCATCCACTGAAGTGATTTGATAGCACTGAAATCGAAAAGCCTTTTCACAGCTACTCATCAACGACACGCCAGCACCATGAGAAACAGGGAATATTGGTTTCGTTCCCTGATTCCGCGAAATACAACACTAGAGCAAATTTGCATATGTCTTCCGTAACCAGTCGTTGTAGATCGGCTAGAGGGTCGGAGGATCATTTTTTCTGCGGGGGGAGGGGATCACATGGTTTTTACGAGATAGGAGGGGGAATTAAGTATAATGGAGGAACTTAGAGAAATTGACTGCCGATTAACAGCCAACGAGAGAGGTCATGGGCACGACTAAAATCCTACGACACCCCACCCCCTCCCCCGGCCATAAATAATGACCGGTCTCATAGGTGTTTTTCACGGTTGGAGATTCAAGATGATTTTTTTTATGTCCAATTAGTAAACGACATCATTAACAAAATTTTTGTTTCACTTGTCAGTACTGCTCATTCCCTTGGGAATTTGAGGTTATTAGATAAAGAAGTAATATCTTCATCTACTAATTGTGGTATTTCCATGGTTAAAAGAGGGACAGAAACGTGGTACACGTGAAATTCAAGCAGTTTTCATGGAAGCTTAAATAAAATTATTGTGATAGTACAAAATTCTTAGGAAATCGATCTGTCTTGGAGGCAGATTCCGAGAAATGTTTCCAATTCCGCCGGATTTATCGGGCTGCCAAGAATGTCTGACGCAAGGAACAACAAGGCTTACAAGAACATACCGAGAAGGCTGGAAGAGCAGACCATTGTAAAACTTTTATTTCTGATAAACCAACAATGGTTAATTGCGTCAAAGTTTTTGGCCACAAAATTGTTATGCCAAGTTCTCATGTGACCAATTAAGTTTCCGTGAGACATTATTTATTTTAGTAGACTGGCTGCGACCTCTCGCTCGTCAAGTCCAAAGCCAATGAGAGTGCGGAGTGCAAATAATTAAGACTATTTATTTGATTGATTAAAAAAAGCCTATTTCTCTTGAGGGTAGAAAGCATTTCATAATGCAGATAGCATTGATCATGAAAATATCCCGAGTTAAAGACGTTAACGAGCCTTCTAAGATTAAGAACAAATGGCATGATGAATTTGCTTAAGAAACTGACAACACTGGGGTAATCTTTACATTGTGATATGTAAGTACTCTAATCGAATTTAGTTGTCGAGGAGGCATATGAAGAGTAACCCGTCCTTTCTCGACATCTGTCCTATGTGGAAGAACATAACAGATATCGATTCCTCTCCTTGTCAGCGACTGTTTTGCTCCATTTGCCCTTCCAACCCAAGGTTTTGGAGGGAAAGCCGACCTTAATCTAATGAATTAATTGCAGGGAAGTGCGGCTCTTTCTTCTAGGCTCCAGAAAGCTTGACTGATCAAATAACAGAAGTTAGATAAAAAAAAGTATTCAATACCTTATCGTCAGTTATGTGGCGGATTAGTTCAAAAATTGTGTAATTCTTCTACGTGATTTACTCAAGGAATCTGATCCTAGAAACATTTTCTTTTAAAGAAAAAAGAAGAAATATTCGAAAAATATTTGGAGCTTTGGGAACTTGAGAAATGCCTTGTTTAGAAGTCAGTTCCTTATAGTCCCTTGCAAATACATTTATGGCCAGACACCTTCACCTTTCTTGAAATTATTATTGTGAATCTTAACTGCTGTTCTTCTTTTTCCCTCTCATCTTCTTTTTCCTTTCTTCTTTTCTCCTCCTGAAAGTTGAAGACACCGCGGTAGATATCAGGAAGTACTACAACGCAGGAGGACACGCCTGCTTCAAATCAGTTCAACGCGCTACATAGCGGTAAAGCTCTTTTTTTTTGTTGTTGTTGTTTCGAGTTACCGAGGGCAAGGTTATTTTAAAATATCCGCGAGGAAAAACAAAAACTGGTTCGAGTTATTGAGAGGCTTGAGATATCGAGTATAAAATAATAATAACTATTTGGCGGAGTTCTTCGGCAAATCAGTTTTGGTTTGAGTAGGCCTGAGCTAGGTTTGAGTTATAGGGGGGCCTTCTATTAACTGCTAACTTGGATACAGTACTTACTTGGGAATTCCGTCTCAGGGAAATCCTCTGAATAACGGTTGATAAACGATCGTATCGGGTCTTTGTTTCCCATCTTTGCTATTGGCAAGTCTAGTTTTTTGGCTATGGACAGTCCTTCAAGCATCATTTTTTTCGCTTTATCCTTGTTTCCTATCTCGTCATGTAACATGGCCCATGTAGTCTTGATTAAGACCTTCCATTCGTGATTCTCTTCCAATTCTCTCTCGGCAACTTGTTCTGCCTTTCTGAATAAAGTCATTGCCTCATCAACGTTTTTTATTTTCTGGTGACAAGCTGCGCAGTTCTTCAAAGTCAGGATGCTTGCTTTGCTTCCACCCTCGACGAGATCGTCGAACATTTCTATGGCTGCGTTATAATACTTGAGGCAAAATTTTAAGTCATCTTCCTCTTTTGTTTCTCCACCGAGAAACAAACGAAGGTCTGCAATGGCCTTCAGGGCTTCGGCTGTCATAAAATGCTTACCAAGGCACCGTTCGAAGAGTTCTAACGCCTTTGTAAGCTGTTTTGTAGCTGTATCACGCTCCTTACGGCGCTTGGCAATGATTCCTGAAAGAAGAAGAGTTGCTGCTGTTTCCGGATGAAGTTCACCCAGACTTGCATAGCTGACATGTAGAGCTGATTGAGTCTCTTGGTCAATTCTTTGGTTTTCTTTAGAATCTTTTTTATCGGAAAGGAAGCGTGCGTAACTGTTGTGAAAGTAAACCTCTGATAACGGATTTTCTTTAAACTTCGCAGCATTCAGGCGATAAATTTCTTCCGCTCTCTGCATAAGTACGCTGTACTTCTTTTGGTCTTTCTTCCTATATTCATGTCCAAGAAGACACGAAAGTTCTACAACATGCATTGGCTGAACAGTTGAGTCAAATGTGTCCAGTAACTGTTCAAGGAACTGGGCATAATTCTTTGGATGAAGACACCTTTCCAAATACATGCACTTCTGTGGAAAACTCTCCAAAAGAGTTTGAGAGCGTTCCATAATTTCTACATCCTTTTCCTCCCTTCCTTGGGCGTAAATGCGAAGAAAATGCTCGAAATTATTTCTGTCCTTGTTGAATAAAAAGAGGGATTCTTTGCAGCTGCCTCTTTTCCAGTACAATTCGGCGTTGTTCGCAAGGCAAGAAATGTAATAAACACAGGCCAATTTTTCTCCATTAGCTAAAAGATCGGCATACTTGGCTTGACCAATCTTCCTTGCATACAAGTGAATGAGTGGATGCATTTGATACCTCTGGGAACTTGGTTGCTCGATTAGCGAACTCTTTTTCAAGGAGCGAATAATCTTGATGGGCTGAATTCCAGGAACTGAGCACGCTTTCATTACAGCCTCGGCAGCACCTGAGTCAAAAGACCCCTGGAAAGTTGACATTAGAACGAGGGCTTCTTGTCCAGCTTCAGTCAATAGATCAAAAGAGGTCTTGATGGCCTTTTCTACAGATCCTTCATCGTCTTCTAGTACAGCAAGTGGTTCTTTCTCCAGTTTTTTAATAAGAGTTTCTTCGGTGTAATCTGAAAGCAGAGATCCAACAATGCACAGGGCCAGAGGAACACAGCCACAAAGTTCTACAATGCGCTCTGCTTTAGAGAGTTGTTGCTGGAAACCTTGTTGGTGGAGGTGAACTTGAGCAACTAGAAGATTTCTAGCCTGTTCGTTTGACAACTCGCGTAGCCTGACTTCTCTTGGTTTCAGGTCGGTATTTTGAAAAGTTCTTCTTGTAGTTATTACAAATGTGACATTTTGTCGCGAAAACATTCTTACATCACGTAAGAAATTGAGGAACAATTCTCGATCTTTAGACTCGATGACACCATCAGCATTGTCAAGAACAAAAGTGACCTGCTCTTGAATTTGTTTGCTCCAGTCTTTGAGCCACTGCCCTGGGTTCTCTGGTACTTGCGTGTTGACCACTTTACGACATGAGTTGATCATTTCCATAGTCGTTTCGTTGAAAGTAGTCTTTGATGATAAGCTACAAAACAACACAGTTCTTTTATTTTCGGGTTTGGCTAATTCACAGGCCACTCGCTTTGCTACGGTCGTCTTTCCGAATCCCGGTCCACCAGTGATCAGAATTACAGGAGCCGCTCCACTTTGAACTTTTTCTTTGATGTCTTGTATTTGATCACCACGGCCGATAACATGTTCTTCTGACAATTCATCAGGAAGACAACTGGATAGTTCCGAGACTTTTCCAATCTTCTCAAGTTCTTTCTCCCTCCTCCATTGTTTGAGCTCCTCTTCAACCAAATGAGCTTCGTGATCGGTAGTAGCACTCTTCAGGGACTGAAGTCTCTTCCGATGGGCGGCAACCTCAAGTACTTCCAAAGACGAAGATATTTTATTCCACTTGTCTTCGAATTCGTCATTTGGAACTCCAGTAGAAACACTGTGGCAGAGCTCATTTCTATAGCATTTGATACGCACGATGCTGGCTTCAGGGCTGGCATCAGTGTCAGCAGGCATTTCGTGCCATCCAGTCGAAGGAACCGATAAATGACAAATTTGACGAAGCAATAAGTGTAGAAGCGTGATATCAAATTCTTTCGAGTCTGGCGGTTTACCTGAGGAAGGAAACAATTTATCCCATTGCTTATCAGATATTACTCGCTTTCGTTTCAGCTCTTCGAGCTTTGGGCGATTGTTGTTCAATGCGTTCTCTAAGGTTGACTCTGGATGCATGGAATGCAAGAATTTCATTAAAACTTTTGTTCCTTCGTCAATAAGCAGTCTTGCCAACCTTGTGCCACTCGTTTTTTCTTTCGATAGATCCGTCGCTGAGGGTCCACTGAGACCAGCAGAAGATGTCTTTTCTTCTGATTCATGGTATCTAGGGTGGTCAGATGGGCCGACATAGGATGACGCAGCTGCCATAACTTGCCGTGGAGGGTCTTTGAAGAGAAATTTTAAAGCTATGAGCAGATATTCAGACAGACAAGAGATGCCATTCTTAATTCACACGACACGAATGGCAAGAATTGTAAGATACAGAACGACGGATCATTCTTTAGTTTCCAAGGAGGATTATCAATCATTTCGTGAATAAAACTTCAGAAACACTTTTAGGTTTCGTCAATTGAGAAGCGATCTAGCTTTTGACTGTCCAAAATTGTCACTAGTATTATATCACAGACTCATATGGGTCATATAACTCCCTAGGAAATCTTGTTGCTAAAAAATTACCCTGTATACCTGGCGGATTCCTCCGGTGTCCAACAATTATGATAGATCTATATCATCATGATATAGAAAGCAACATAGTGCTCTTAAAAGAGAACCCTGAGGTACTCCATATTTCAATTCAGTTTGATCCAGGCGCTGAATTTTGTCAGTGAGAAGACATTTTAATATGCCTTCGTAGCTAAATCATGCATTTTGTGTCGTTCGATTTCACTGATACAGGATCACGAGATCTGCCTAACCGTTAAAGGTGTTATCAACAGCTTTGGAAGCTGAATCACGCCTTCGGTTTCCCAGCAATCTTTTTGTAATATCAAATTAGTTTATATCCGTTTCGACTTCCCTCCTTTGAACCCTTCTCGATGCTAACACATAAAGAGTATACTATCGTCAACATTCTCAAATCTACTACTGACAATATCATACTTTATTAGCCTTCATAACGACAATCGTTGAGTGGAGCAACTTGTATGCATCAGGTACGAGAGGAATGCATCGGATTAGTTGAGATTTTGGTTAAGACCCTGCGGTTAATAAAGAGTTCTTTGAACCGCGTGGGACCTATGTTAATAGGAAGACTTGCCGCTTTGATACTCACCAAGTTTAACTTCCTCAACACTTTCTTTGACGTCTCCTTCGGGGTCACGTAAAGTCCTGCAAAAGATGATTTCAAATTATGAAATTTGAGTATACTGTAATGTTTCGTGTTTCTGAGTAGAAATACGCAGAGAAAGATTGTATTGTCAAATGTTAAATTGGATTTTTAGCAAATCCTATGAAACAATTTCATAAAACTAGCTACAAAGATTTAATCTCGCTTTTTACCTTATTTCATGTTCTCTCTGGAATACCTCTTGGGTATTTACGATTGTTACTTCCAATTCTTTGTCAAATCCAATTTTTTTTAACTCTTCTTCCAATCGACGCTTCACTTTCTTTTCCTTAAAGTCCTTCACAAACTGTAGGAAACTTTGCTGTGTATGGCAATGTAGTTTCACAATGATTGAACCTTCTTCAATATTTGCGACTTCAGGATCAGCTGCTCCAATCTCATTTCTTCTTTCTAAGCTATTTCTAATCGCATTTTCTGTATTCCACCTGTAACGTAAATAGAATGCACCTAACGTCACCGCCGCACCCGCTGCCAAGGCAACTCCTGCCACGATAGGGCTGTCAATTTTCACTGAGATTGAAAGAGCCTCTCTGGTGACAAACGCTGATGCCTCAAGAGTGGCCCTGGTTGCCTCTGCCCCGACTGCAGCACTTTCCCTAGCCATTCAATTTGAACTTGCCGACTTCCACTACACCGCTATGCCATGAGGTGCTCTGCCCGAAAAAAGAAAATAAAATAAAAACACTTAGAGCGAAATTTTGTTAATTGTAGCAACTTAGGATCGGAAATCACGGAGAAGTAGATTGTTGTAAATGAAGTTAAGTGGTAGAATGCTACTTTTTGATATTCAGAAAGCAACTAGGAATGTGCTTTTTGGGAATCACTGAGTGTTGAAAGTGATACTATTAGAATCTGAAATACCTTAGCACTCAGCCCTTAGGGTGCTGAGCGGAGGGATTTCATCGGAATTGTCATCAGCCTGTTCTGTTGCTTGCACCTTTTTGGATATAGTTTCATTTATTTATTCAGTGAACTACTCTTTCATATGAGGAATAGTTTTGTAGTCAGTGTACAATTTATGATACTGCCACAATTCTGTGTGATAATCCTTTAGATGTACAGGTATTTTGTTCACAGTCAAAAATACGGTTTCCTCTCAGTAACTCTAACTTGTGTTTTAGGCTGACTACAACACAGGCTAAATGATGGCGAAATAGAAATTCAAATATATCTCAACTGCAAGGTTATTCAGCCATCCGTCATAATTTCCAGACATCAGACATCAATAATATTGTTCAGTTATTTAGTGACCCAGGAAACACAATCAAATCTCAGTTGCTATTCGATTCAAGTAGAGTTGTTTGCACCAAAACAACTATAATTCCTCCTCAAGGAGGCCTCATTTTCCGTTACCTAGGGGCCAGTTGTCAAGTCTGCATTTAATATCAACACTACCTCATTTCCCTTATTTTCCTAATGCAAAGGCTAGCTTTCACAAATCAAACATTTCTGTTTCTTTCAAGCTCAGAGAGAAAATAAGAGTTATTGGTATTTACCCATACATGAAATTCTTATGCATAATACAAAAGTGGAGAGTATATCACATGTTTGGAAGCTATTTTGATCAGTAATTGGTCCTAGCGTATAAACGAAGAACAAAGCAAAATTTTAAAGGATAGCAATTTTTAAAACATAAGAAGTTTAGCCTTTGTAACACTGTATTATCGACATAGTTAGTAAATATTGCTTCCCAGTTTCTAGTCCAATGTTCTGAAGTAATTTCCACTCATATAATGTTGTCACCATGTACAAAAAGCTTGTGCGTAACTGCACCACAGCATTGCTACAGGCTTTTGAATAAATCATTGAAGTATTAATTCTGGCACACAGAAGGAATTTTTTTCATGTGACAAAAATTTTTTTAAAAATATGTTATGTGCGCTGGAGATTTTCATTTCCATCATTTACAATTATCTCCACTCATACTGACAACAGTAATCTCAAAAACAGTTCAGATAGCTTATATAAAAAATTCAGAACAAATGGCTAAAATTATTAGGCTCAGAACACTAACAAACTCACATTATCCAAGATGACCCTTGTTTCTTATGTACTGTTGTGTTCTATAATTAGTTTCCGCTGCGAAATTCTCACTATTAAATTAAGCGCGAAATATAGTGCGATCCTCATTTGTTAAAGCTGACGAGAGCTGGCTTTGGTCTCATACGGTAAAAAAAAGTGATGAAACAAAAGAAAGAATAATTTATTCATCAAACTGTTTTAGGAACGAAACCATATGTTTGAAAACTGTTAAAAAAATTTCTGCCTGAAGAAAAAACAACAATACAACAAAGCAAAGTTAATGAAGCAGTTATATTTACCGCGACCTAAACAATCTGGTCTTTATCTCCCCCCTCTGAGTTTCAAACCTCTACGCTATTTCGGATTGTTTAGATCGAGATAAACATTAATTTCACGATATTTCGCACTTAATTTTGATCCAAATTTAAAGTCGCACAAGAAAGGAGAAGCCACCCCTTTCATCGTCTCTTAAGGGAAAGTAACTAGACGATATCCTGGTCAGAGGTAACTTTGAATGTAGAAGATTTAAAATCACTTACAGACCCGTCAACACTTTACTAAACTCGAAACGTAACTCAAAGTTCAACTCGAACTCAAGCCTACCTCACTACTGACATGAACTTGTCTGGTTTCTATTTAGTATAGTGCTAATATCGTAAATAGGTTGCAGTTTGTCATCGTGGCAAATAATACTTTCAAAAAAGGACTATAATCGTTTGTCTCACGATGTAGTCACTTCGGATGCGATTCATATCCGAAGTGACCAAATCGTGAGACAAACGATTACATTGCTCTTTTGAAAGTATTTTATAAAATAATTCAAATAGTACGCGCGCTCTGATTGGCCATAAAACCATTTTACATGAGCGTATGTAAACACGGTTTTCATACTGAATCTTCTCGCGGAGTTCTCCCTGCTATTAATTTAGCAGTAACTCAGTTTCTTTAAGTTTGTTTTGAGTACAGTAATAGAAGAAGAAGATTTTCCTAATTTTTCTTTGGAGTTTAATTTTCCCAGTATTCAAGAAACGGCCGAAAAGCCAAATGAACAACAACAACAAGCACGTCGCTTTCCCTCGTTGCAAGAAGAGGCTCTTTCATTAGTTATTTTATAAAAGAAATGTAAAATAGTTTCCGTGTTTACATAGCCTGATGTAAACACGCGGGAGGTTGGCAGAACACTCGATAAGCTGGAAACCGCTCCGCTTCGCGTCTTGGTTTCCTACGCTTATCTCGTGTTCTCCCAACCTCCCGCGTGTTTACATCAGGCTATGTAAACACGGAAACCATTTTACATTTCTTCAACAGTTGACAGTTGACCTAGAAATCGACCAAAATATCATCAGATATAATTTCATACTTCATACATTTGCAACATGGGAAAGAGACATAAAAAAAATAAATTTCTGTACCATTTGTAAGCATCACCTGTGAGCTTTATTTCAAAACTGAGCAATAATTACTGGCGAGAATCTCGTAATATCTCTGTATCTCCAAGTATTCTAAAGAGACGACAAATTAAACTTTACTTCGCATAACATGAAGCCGAACCGGACAAACCGGAGAAGGTGACGGCCGCTTACTTGCAATGAATAAATGACTCATGTGTTTGCTTGTCTATTTATCTTCAAACATTGTGGGAAATTTGTCGACGAAAGATGTAACACCCGGGACTAGCGGCTGAGTTTACGTTTTCAATTCAAAGTGCACGTTCGCATGATTCTAATCCAGAACTTGCAGCACTTTTAATTCATATCCTGTTATTGTTTGCATGTGTAAGTTATTCAGCTTGAGTGGTATATTCTGAAACATTACTCACCTAATATTGGAGAACCTCCATTTCGATTTTAATATAAAGCCGGCTATGTGTACACTCTGAGAAGACAAGGCCACATCCACTGAGTTAATAGCATCAATCGAAAAGCCTTTAAAATACAGCTTCTCTAGGCGCCAGCATTCTGATCCGCCACTGAGGGTCCAACAAGACCAACAAAAGTTACTGTCTAAGCTCTAAGAAAACAAATTCCTTTTGAGAAGCATAGGAACTTTAGCTTGTCTTCAGATACCCACGAATTGCGATTTTCAATCGACACGAATTTCATAACCAGTCAACAGGGAAATTTCCCAATGAGTTCTAGGAAATACAGAATGATAAATAATTTTCAACGGTTTCCGAGAAAGATCATTGTCTACAGTTCTTGATTGGTGCGGCTAAGCTCCAGCTGTCAACCACAAGCCAAATGTGTCATTTGAGCGTCATTCTGACATTTCGCTTTCGGGAGTCTTGTGCATTAAAATCGGAAATTTGCTTGGTATATTGGCAGCTAATCACTTTCCATTAAACTACTAACATTAGAAGTGTTTGGGAACTACTAAAATTAGAAATGTTCTGACTAAGTGTTAGGGGGTTGTTTAGGCCTGTTAGATCATCTTGAAATCCTTGTGAGAGTCCTGTGACCCTTGGTTTGTCATGTGCTGCAAGACCACACATTTATTTTTACCTTTCGAGTTATTTGTCTTCGACCATTGTAATATGGCTTAATTCTTGCACGATATTCGTCGCCAATAGTCGTGTTTGGGTTTGTCCTTATCCTTGCTTAGAGTCCTCAACGGGGAGTGGTGTTTAGGTGTTGGTGAGTTCTCGACTGTCGGTTTTTTAGGTACTTTGTTGTTCTTTTCAAATGTCTCGTGAAATTGTTTCGGTTCGCATTCTAAAAATGTGTTTACTCTGCCAAGGTCAGTTGTTCCGTAAGCCAAAACATGCCTACCGTTAGGATATTTAAGAGCATGACCAAATGAATTAAAAGTGCTTGATCAGACTTTTGGTGCCTCCGTTGGCGCGAGTCGCTCAAGCTTGTTAACCCTAAAAGTCCAGTAATATGAATATAGTGACTTCCAATTGACTTGCATTCTCTTCTTTAAGCAATATTTACTGCTTCAAGAACAAAGAAATACAAGTCTGTAGTTAAAAATTAAAGTATTCCCGGGCCGATGATGTAGAGTACCTATGACGGATTCATAGTATATTGACAAGCAATCATTCCGGATTTTCTCAGAAACTTGGAGAAAATATAAACAAATACACAATGGACTTCTCTCTCGGCATCATTGCTAAGTACACTTATATGCGATATAATCCATTTATTTTTAGCATGCGAGGGCAAGTCCCACGTCACGGTTGGATCGGAATCCTGAGTTTTAGCTGGAGGTGCACTCAGAGCTAAGATCCCGAGCTGAACGGCGGGTCGTATTCGAAGTTTAAACGTGTCCATGAAATTTGAAAAAATTTTAAGAACCGTCTTCACAGGGCCGAAAAGATGCTAGACGTGACCCACAACATGACACCATTTCATATGGCAAGCCATACAGGACAAAAGTGGGTTGAGTCCAAAATTACCTCTCGAGTTTCAGTGATTGATATGTGAGATTGGGAAATTACTGCATGAGAAATAGAAATCATTGTACGAGAATGAATAAACTGTCATGCGAGATTTTAAATTACCCATCGAGAATGAAAAAAACCTTAATTGAGAAAAAGACTGACGTAGCAAGAAACCAAGAAATAAATATTAACTGTTAAGAATGAGAAATCACTATGAGGATTTATCTACTAGTTATTCTGAGCCGGTGAGCAACAGCTAGGCAGCGGAGTGTATTTTGGCGGGAAATTCTCTCATCCTCTAGGCGTCTTCGCTCGCTGCCGGAGCCGGGCAAATAGCGCAGCAATCATAACAGCAACTGCGTCAACTTCTTGAGGAAGTACGAGTATTCTTAGAACAAATGTTAGCCAACTCAATAAAATGTTAATGCTGAGGTATCTCGTGCTCGCATGGTAGACAACGTAATCCAAGTGAATAAAGGGGTAAGTTTCTAAAGAAACTGTGGTGCTGCGTCGGTGGGAGAGTATAGCAGGTAATTTAGTGTTAACAACTGGGTTGAAAACGTAAATTAGCCACCGTAAAGGGTAAAAAAGCTGACGTTTCGAGCGTTAGCCCTTCGTCAGAGCGATTAGAGGAATTGTAGGTTGTGTGTGGATTTATATGCGGAAAGTGGAGTTACGCCATTGGTGGGAATATGGTGACGAGAAAACAAAAATAAATTAGTTGAATGAAAAGCGCTCGTTGATTCCGTGGGGATTAAGGGTGCCGATTTGGAATATAAATTTTTGTTCTAGTGTTTTACGGCTTTCCGAACTGCCTAGATGTAAGGAAAGGCCGCAAACTGCCATATGCTGTTTAGAATGATTAGGAAGATTAAAGTGTCTAGCGACTGGTTTGGATGCGTCCTTGTCATTTCTTTCCACATCGCGAAGGTGTTCTCGGAAACGGTCACCCAGTCGTCTTCCTGTTTCGCCGATGTATAACTTATTGCAATAAGTGCAAGTTATTCAGTAAATAATATTGGCGGAGGTACACGTAAAGTGATCAATGATCTTAATGGATCTTTTGGGTCCCAATATTTCCTCTACGTTATGAATGAAAGGACAAGTTTTGCATCGTGAGCAAGCGCATTTAAAAGTTCCAGATTGGTCATTGGTTTGAAATGAAGTCCTGACTAAAAGTTGCCTATGTTTTTGTCACGTTTGAATGAAATAAGTGGGGGTTGCGAAAAGATAGTGCCAGTCTCTGAATCATTTTGGAGTAATTTAAAATTTTTAAGAATGATAGATTTAACTGCGTGGTTGTGAGGGTGAAATGTAAGAGTAAATGGAATGCGGTCAGTGTTCTCCTTCTCGGCCGTTTGTAGTGCTGCCTGCCGATCGATTTGATGGGCACGGTGGTAGCCCGCTTGAACGACAGAAACAGGATAGCCACGTTTATCGAAAAACTGGCACATTGCCTCTGATTTTACGGAAAAATCAGAATCGTCACTACATAAACGACGAAGTCTGAGAAACTGTGAAAAAGGTATGGAGTTCTTGACGTGTGATGGATGTGAGGATGAATACAACGTAATCCAAGCTCGAGCCTCCATCACAGTACAAGGCCTGCAAGTTCCTCGCACAAATCGGTACTTCAGATAGCAAGCGAAAGAAAACACTCCATTCTACTGTGATTTAATAATACTTGCTGGCCCAACAATCAATGTTGTACCACGACAGGGAAAGAGGGTGGCATTGAGTGAACACGGCCATATTCTTAATGCATGTCAATTTTTTAAAGCCATGAACGAAACAAGTTGAGACCATCGTCATGGAGGCGTTTGGAGAAAACATTCCTCGCCTTGTTGACATAGAGATCCTTATGTCAGTCCATCGTTAAGCCAACGCTTGCACCAGGTCAGAAAGGTATTGCTTGGGTTATTTAACAAAATCGCCATTTCAAAAACAAGCCAGTGTATGTAAGGCCAAGTAAAGTGTTCCTGCCCGATCTATCAAAGGTAAGATTTGCAGTAACTCGAAATGATTTCTTGTGTAGATGATAACAAAATTTAGGTAATTAATGAGTAATAGGGAGTAATGAGACAACCATTCGAATCATGCCTAATACTGCACCTCCCGTGTATAATTTGGCTTGAGAGAGAAGGGCCAGAAATACTTATATTGAATCAGGACAATGGAAACAAATTTTCAAAATTAAACAATGAATTGGCCAACAAGTAAAGTAATAATGTCTTTAAAAAATCCATACATGTACTGTTTCTCGTAAATTTGTCTTTTGTTTAATTCTGTTTGTCAATTGTGAAGGATATTGACACTAAAGATGATACAGAATTTGAATTTAATGATGATGGTAACATGCCAGCAGCAATGTTACCAGATCCAGTGACAAAACTTACAGGCAATCTCTCCTGTGCTGCTTTAACTGTAAAAGCAAATTCTGTACAGAGACTACCTCATGCCACTCAAACAGGTCCAACTTTCACACGAGCTCATGCTTCAACTTCAAGGGTAACACCAAACCCCAGACAGAATATACTGAACACCCCCATAGAAGGCTCAACTGGCACGCAAACTCATGCTACAACTTCTACTGTAACCATAAATCCTACACAGAGTGTACCCTCTTACACTGAAACAAGTCTTATTGCTACACAAGCTCGTGCTGCAAACTCAAGTGTAACCATAAATCCCAATTATGAAGTGCCTCTAGATTGAGCGGATGACAGGCCAGTATTTAGTCCCAATAAAATATAAACCATTGAAAGCATAAGTCAACTGCCTGTAGCTCATGGCGTTTCACAGGATTATACCATTGATGATGGCCTACTATGTGAAAAGAAAGTCACAATCCATCGAGTTGTTATTCAGGAAGAAGTGATGCAGATCTTCAAAGATGAAAGTACCTTGAACTACCATCTCCACATATTGGCATTGCTGGGCAAGAAGAGGAGTGAGAAGGCAAGGAAGTTCTTCTAGATCTTTAGCATGCTTTTGGCAAAAGTGCTTCATATTACTGATGATTGGAACCAATGGAAAAGTTCATCTATTAAGCATGATATGCATAGTGTCATTCCTGAAATTTTACATCCCATTAAATTTGTGTCACCTCTTTGTTGCCATGTGTCTTTATAGGGATCATGTTATCACTTCAGAGACTTTGATAAAAAGCTTTAGACAATTTTTAGCTACAAAAGATAGAGAGGCATTGGAAAAGTGCCTTAGTGATGATTTTAACCCTAATGATGAAGATGTCTTGGACTTACTTACATCATTAAAGTGGTTTAAAGCACCAAGTAAGAACATTGAAGCCATAATCATAAACTTACCCATCAGGAACTTGTCCAGAAGCCAAGAGATGGAATCAACTGCTGGAGTCCAATTCTCATGGTATTATGCTTTGAAGAAAACTTTCAGTCCATCAAGAAACTCAACATCTTTTACCAAAGTAAGTAGCTAACATCCAAGAAAATTAATAAGTTATTCAAAGCTGAACCAGCAAATAAAGCAGAATGTACATTCTTTGAACACCTGAAACGCTTTGTAAAGTCAATGAAAGGCAAATCTCTATCCATGTTCTTATGGTTCTGCAATGTTCAAAACATTGATGTGCACTTTACTATCCTAGAAGAGTTGCAGTGACATCCTATTGCCAGAACAGCTGGACCAATGCTACCATAGCTTCCATCTACATATGAATCATACCCAGCACTGGTTGAAGAGTTCACTGATGTAATGACAGAGGAGCAAGCCTGGTTTTTTCACATTTTTTTGTCTGAAAGATGTGAACAATTTAAAATGAAGACTTTTAATTCTTTAAAATGAAAATTTTGAAATGAACTCTTTGAACACCTTGAAATTTGCTTCTCAGTGTCACTGTTTTTGTGCTATGCATAACATTTTTGTAAAAGTGGTATAAGGATTGTTGTAACAGAGAATACAAGTTACTGTTGATGGAATTTCTGAACTTTCCAACTAGGATTGAGTCATAAAGTTATATCTATTTAAATGTCATTACAGTTGTCACCAGCTGTTAGTTAAATGGTTACAAGTTAGAAAGCCTTTTGACAGGACGTAAAATTTGCTAGTTTCAAGACTACAAACTCTAAGTAACAATTTTATCAGCTGATCTCTTATATTATCAACATAAATAAATCATGAAGTGACTTTATTCATTACAGTCTTGTAAGTGGTCATTACATAACATGATAGAAATTTGTCAGCCCCTTGGAATAAGGCAACTTAGGGTAAAAAGTGACATGTTGCTTTTGCTACCAGTAGTTGCCTTCTACATGTAAGAAGTCAATGCCTAAACTTCAAATTGCACTAAAAACTGCATTAGTTTTAGTGTACTACTTACACCACAAAGTAAATGCATCTAGGAAATGTGAAAATGGTTTGATGATAAATCAGGGAAAATGACAGCATTTCATTAAGATTAAAACCATCAAAATTCAAGAGTCATACTTGAAGTTATTATTAAGGGATCAACTATACCTGTGACAGCTGCTAAAAAGTGTCATGACTTTCATTTTCAACCTCCGGACAAATCATGGATCAAATTTTCTTCCTCTTTTAGTGCTCAGTGCAATTTTTTTAACCGCTGAAAAAAAAAGAGATGACGATTTCATTATACAAGCTTTGAACACAACAGCATAACTTCAATCTTATTGACTGCTTGATCTTCTCAGTGTGTTATTTGTATTGAAAACATGTCTGCAGTAAGCTTTTCCATCTTTATGAAGCCCATATGAGGGAGGGAAAACAATGATCTTGTGAATGTTCTTCCATTATCATAACAGGAAATATGAAAATACTTTAAATTAGAAACTGATAAATTTTAAATTCATTACTGCTCTGTAAATCCTTTAATGATTGTCACAGTGTTCAGAAAGTGGGTAACTCCATTGTCTCCATCAGGGAGAGGGTCAATCCTAGTATATAATTTATGCAGTTGGTGATTTGTAAGCTGACTGAGTGACTCTAGTACAACAACATCGTTGTCTGTTTCAATATCAGTCAATGGACCATCAAAAACAATTCCATATGTCTGCCAATTTGTCACAGTAGACTCCTTGTGAGCATTGAGTAATTCAGTGTATCACATTCCCTAGGGTGTTTGGTGGCCTACTGTTCTAATACCACGATAATTCCACTGGCTTTTTAACTCCAGTATAGAGGCATTGATCCAAGGAATACAAACATATTGCAAAGCCAGCAGGTGTTACTCATCAAGTGAGTCCAAATTTCCACTCACAAGGAAATCAAACAAATCCTTGTAAAGTGCTGAGCTGACTCTATTAACTTATGCCCATAGCCTTTAAATGTGCTGATTGTGGGCACTTGTATCAACAATGAAGCTACCTCTATCAGATCCCTGGTTGATGAGCATGTACCTAGCTACATCTACATTCTCTATACCCTGGTCACCTTGAACCCTGAAAGGGAGACCAGACTCTTGTACCCCTTGCTCAAAATATTGAAGCACAGTACTAGCTTTGTTTTTTTGCACAACATTTCAGATATACAATGGCTTTGCTGTAGCCATAGATGCATCCATGGATGACAAATCTTAGTGAGTTAGCAAATGGTTCGAATCAATGTGCCACAAATGATTTGGGCGAGTGACATTGTAAGTTCTTTGACAGATTGCATACCGACGTCTTACAACTCTACCTACACCATTTATCTTTTTCAAGCTTTCTCTGATTCTGAACTGTTGATCATTTGTACCCCTACCTTTGAGACTGCCCCTAACATAGGTTTCCCCGCTATAGGGCGTTAAATTGGGAGTCTGCTATCGTTGCGCGTCTAATTCTTCACTCGTAATATCTGTGAAACTGTTTCTTACTCCAAACTCGATCCTTTTTGTGTGTAGTGTTTGGTTGGAGATTCCAAGGCATGTTGCTATTGATTCTCCAGTTCATACCAGTCTTACGCAGTTGCTCAATCATTTACCTTGTAATTATGTACCTCGGTCTTCCTCTTGAACTTGCAGATAATGCCAACGGATTTTTCTCCTTTGGACGAAAGCTTGATGCATTTAAAATATCAGACGACCTTCTTAATAACACAGCTCTAACACCTCAAACAGGTCTGGAGAGGAATTTTGGGACATCGCGATAACCATTCCTATGTGTTCTTCAAGCTTCCTAGCACAGATTTCTAATCGTTCATGATCATATGCGTGATAAACGGAAGCGGTTCTTTCGATGGTACTCCTGAGAGAATCAACAAATGCTGTAAAGTCTTCTGCACTCCGTTGCTCCGCCATTTTGCGAGAAATACACTCCGCTGACTGATTGCTGTACACGGGCTCAGGAAAACTAACCGATAATCTCGCGTAGTAACTTCTTTTTCTCATGCAACAATTTCTCATTCTCAACAGTCAATATTTATTTCTCGGAATCTTATTGCATCGGTCTTTTCCTCGATTAATATTTTTCCATTGTCAATGGGTGATTTAAAATCTCACATGACAATTTTTCATTCTCGTTCGGTAAATTATATTTCTCATATAGTGATAACTCGATAGGTAATTTTGAACAACCCAAGTTTGCCTTGTTTGGCTTGCCATAATTTCACTCTGGATATTAGAAGCGGCATTCATTTTGTCTGGAAGAAAATTATCTTAAAGATTCTTTGAGTCCAAGTAATTTCCACGAAATGTTCTAAATTAGCAAATTATTATACAAGGTTATCCAGGATATCGTGTTTCCGAGGAAGTCACGCATAATTTCATTGTACAACATTGGGTGTATCTCTTGTATTTCATGCATGATTATTGCGATTGTTGTTCAATGCGTCCTGTAATATTAACCATGGATGCATGGAACGCAAGAATTTCCTCAGAACTTTTGTTCCTTCATCAATAATAGAAAGGGAAATTTCTCAATGATCATTGGGAGATTTCCCTGTTTGAGTTCTAGGAAATACTCGATGAAGAATAATTTTCCACGGTTTCCGAGAAAGATCAGTGTGAAATTTGCATGAGCTTGTCCTGTCATCTTAGTTGTATACATCCATGCTTAGTTGATGTTTAAGGAAATATGTTTTCTTTGATGTTAGCTGGTCATTTTAATGATAGAGTCGTATCTTTAATTAACAGTTATAATCTCTCAATTATGTAAAGAAGATGAGACAGAGTTTGGACTTTTGACAAAAAAAATCATTGCGAAATTCACAAGCCACTCGCTTGGTAACGGTGATGTTAGCTGGTCATTTTAATGATAGAATCGTATCTTTAATTAACAGTTATAATTTCTCAATTATTTAAAGAAGATGAGACAGAGTTTGGACTATTGACAAAAAAAATCATTACGAAATTCTCGATGGTGAATAATTTTCCACGGTTTCTGAGAAAGATAATTGCATGTGTTTACAGTGTGAAATCTGCACGAGTCTGTTCTGTAAACTTAAGTGTAAATCGATGCATAGTTTCTGATCAAGGAAATATGTTTTGTTTCGTGATGTTAGCTGGTAGGCAATTTAGTTACTGTCCCTTTTCACTTGCTTATTCTTTGGATAAAATTCGTCTTTTTTCGGATTTTTTTCGGAAACTTGAATGATGAAATAAAGCTAAAATAGTGGATGTCAAAATAACTAGTATTGATTACCTTCGGGCAATTTCTTCTGAGTACACTGATATCTGATATTATCCATTTATGGCGTGTTAGTTCATGTCACAGTTTGGTCGGAATCTCTAGTTTGAGATATAGGTGCACTGAAAGTCATGTCTTTCAGCTCCATAAAAATCTTGAAAATGCTAAAAGAGGCGCCTTTATAATAACGAAAAGATGGTCGACATGACACCATATTATTTTGGGAAATCGAGGGGAATATTCATGTTTTCCGGATAATGTTGACCGTATAGATTCTTGGAATCCAATAAGTTTCCGAGAAATGTTTTTGTTAAGAAGATACAGAGAGTCTCATATCAATCTTTAATGACTTAGGCGAATAAAGTACTGATGATCTAGTTTGGATATGGCTTTCAGAATCAAATGACGTAAACAAAACATGCATTGCACAATGATTTTGTATTTTCGCAGACGTTTGTTGTTGATAATCTACCGGCGGCCATAAACTCACCATCAAAGCCGTTTTCATATTAAAATTTCTTTGTAAGAAAGGTAAGCGACGTTGTATTCAGACAACCACGAGTTGCAACTCTTAATCGATGCGAAATTTTTAACCACTTAACAGTGAATACTAAACAATTCACAGGAAGACGCAATGATACACGAATCTTTAATTTTCAAGAAGGCTCATCTCACAGCGTGATGTCATGAAAAGTTCAACTGTCATGCTCTATTGTTGAGCAAAATTTGCATAGTATGTTGACAGCTAATCACTTTACATTAAACTACTAAAATTAAAAGTATTTGGGAACTACTAAAATTAGAAATGTTTTGACTAATTGTTTGGGAATTGTTTATATCTGTTGGATTATCTTGAAATCCTTGTGCGAGTCTTGTAAGTCCTGGTTTGTCACGTGCCGCAGGACCACACATTTATTTTTACTTTTAGGGTTAATTGTCCTCGACCATAGTAATATGGCTTAATTCTCGCACGACACTCGTCATCACTAGTCGTGTTCGGGTTTGTCCTTGATCCTGCTTAGATTCCGCAACGGGAAGTATTATTTAGGTTTTAGTGAGTTCTCGAATATTGGTTTGGTAAGGACTTTGTTGATTATTTCGAATGTCTCGTGAAATTGTTTCGGTTAGCATTCTAGAAATATGTTTACTCTTCCAAGGTCAGTCGTCCCGTAAGCCCAAACACGCCTACCGTTAGGATATTTAAAAGCGTGACCAAATGACCGAATGAATTAAAAGTGCTTGATCAGACTTCTAGTGCCTCCGTTAGCGCAAGTTGCTCAAGCTAGTTAAATATGCATATAGTGACTTCCAATTGACTTGCATTTTCTTCTTTAAGCAATGTTTGCTGCTTCAAGAACGAAGCTATACACGTCTGTAGTTAAAAATTAAAGTATCCCAATGACGTAAAGTACCTGTGACGGATTCAAAACATATTGACAAGCAATTATTCCAGATTTTCTCAGAAACTTGGGGGAAATGTAAAAAAAATACACAGAGGACTTCTTTCTCGGAATCATTGCTAAGTGCACTTGATATGCGATGTAATCCATTTGTTGTTTGCATGCGAGGGAAATCCCGCGTCACAGTCGGATAGGAAACCTGAGTTTTAACTCGAAGTGCACTCAGAGCTAAAATCTCGAGCTGAACGGCGCGGTTTTTTCGCATTCGAAGTTTAAACGGTTTCATGAAATTTGAAAATCATTTACAAAGCCGTTTTCACAGAACCGATAAGATGCTAGACGTGACCGAGAACATGACACCATTTTACTCTGGTTATTAGAAGCGGATATTTATGTCTGGAAGATAATGGTCTTAAGGAGTCTTCGAAGCCAATTGTTCTCAAATGATTATACAGGGTATCCAGGATATCGTGTTTCTGGGGATGAAATAAGTAAAAATAACCAAGGTTCGCTGTAAAAATAATCATAACAAATTGAAGCATGGAGGGTCTCATTTCAGTCTTCAAACTTTCCCACGATAAAGTTCGGACTTGTCTACAATGAATAATGAAAACAGAACATGTATGAAGTTATGGTGTTTGTGGTTTTGATTTAGTCTTCACAAAACCTGTTCTCCCTTATTTCATTACTTTTTTAACAGTCCTAAGCGTTCACGGCAACAGTTTACACCAACATCCCATTCCTTATATGTGACGGTAGACACGATATCTCGCACTAGCTGGATTTTTGCGGGGAACAAAACGGTAACAGGGGAAAATAGCTCGGTAGAGACCACTTGGCAGCGAGAACGGAAACTCGTCACGGTTTTCTGGCACACAGTGATCTGCTTCAAGCGAGCTTGCTACGAACGTCAAGGATTAGACAGCGTTTGGTTCCACAGTAAGTTTATTATAGTTCATGTTGAGAAACGACATGACCTCTAGCGTACTCAACTTCGTAATCGCCACGCATTCGTCTACGTAATCAAAAAAGCTTTACAATGGACTTCCTTGAGTACTATCGAGCGCGTGGTTCTATTGTTTCCTAAATCTACAATTACTTGAATGTATATCTTAGCAAGTAAAGGTGAGAACTTAATTAAAATTTGTGCTTATATAAGCGATGTTGGAGTTAAGTTTGAACAAATAGCAACGACAAAAATTATCGTATGAAAAGAACTAATTTACAGCTAGCAACTTCCCTGAGAAGTAATTTGCCAGAAAAGGTCGCTACAAAGAATGTTTACTTAACAATGTCCACTAAGAATAAAATCACAAAAGGACCGCTGTTCAGGCGCACAAAGTCGGCGATAGCAAAGCGATATGTACATGTTGATAGTTGAAAGAACTTACTGTTGGCTTTTATCTTTTTTTGAAAACATTAGAATAAAAGAACTCGAATGAATTGAGAACGGCTAAAGTATTGAAAAAGTATTAAATGTGCTCCAAAAAAACTCATGAAAAAATCACTTAATTTTCTCTAAGACATTGAACTATATCTACTCATAAAAACACAAGATGTATTCGATACTCTTTTCTCACTAATTTACTAATTGTTGCTACCAGCGATTATGTAAAGGTATCCAATTTTTACAATTAGACTTGATTCGAATATTTCTGCAGCAAATCAGTCGAAATGTAATAGCTCTGAGCAAAAGGCAAAGACTATTATTCTTTTCAGTAGAAAAATACAAAATTTTATCACATCTAAAATTCACATCAGCTTCTTTACGACATTTGTGATTTCTGCAAATACTCAATATTTCGTGTGCCTACACGGCAAATAACAGAAATGAGTAAAAATCAAGATTTCTCGCATAATATTCTATATGAAAAACCAATAATTTGCACAATTTCGAGGGGAGTAGGACATACCCATACTGCGTTTAAAATAATCAAGCGGACAGAAAGTTTAAAGTCGCTCAAAATCTTCCTAAGAAACATTAATGTAAGCATTCTAGTGGGTTTGACGGTTAGCTTGCTCGTGAAAGTGATAAAACGTTGATGCTTTTAATATTCGGCACATTTCGATTAGAACGAAGTGAAACAAATTTCAATACCGAGTGACTGATTATGCTCAAAGATATTTTCCTTTTCGTCCAGGTCTACATTATGTACAAGAAAATTTCAGCTATCGATTTCCTTACTAATCGGATCGTTACATTTCCCAAAATCACCCTTAAAACTACCCCTCTAGCCGAAAGATAAAGTATAGCTGGCTGAGTTACAATCTGAAAGATAATTCTTAATGGAGTGAATACAAATATTAACTATTCTTTTTATCATATAAAATGTATAAAACAAATGAACTCCATGTTGTTGTGATTCTGTACAGTAGGAGTTCACAGATGATGTCTAAATGTGGTAAAAACATGAGCGACGCTCAGCTGCGCTTCGTGTGTCACTTTTCGGTTCTTGCCACATTTGACGTCATCTGTGAACTATTACTGAACAGACACGCAACACGATGGAATCTATTTGTTCAAATAATTGGCGTGAGACACGCTGTCAGAAGTTGGTTAGTTGTTTACTAATCATCGGTAATCTGCCTCTCGCTTCAGAACTATTAAATTGGTTATTTTTTTCACATATGAGAAAAAAAAACAACTACGCCAAAGTTAATTGGTTGTATCTTAGAGATCCCTATTTTCTCTTGTTGTATCGTTATCTTCACGTGTGAAATATTAAACTATTATTGTATATTCGATTTTCAGCATTTCAAAGATTGATTCCTTATCATCATGGTTTGCGCATTTCTAAGATTCAGTTTAGAAGTTTCCGAGTTTTTCATCGTTACCATTTAAATTTAAATTTATCTCCATTTGTAACAACCCTTTTACTTAATTTCCTGATTGATTCCATCCTCTTCCAGGGCCAGCTTTCCACTTCCCGTGGGGCTGTGCACCTCGATGGCCTGTTCGACTGGCAACGCTTCCTGAAAGATTAACAGCGTAGTATGTATAATGAATCATCACGGTGCAATTTAACAAGGGTAAAACTTCTCTCTCACTTTATACTTTACCTGAAGCTCGACATGCCTAGATGTGTTTTCCGAAGCGTCTAAACTTAACCATAACTTTTGACAGGTAACTTGCAATCTCATGAAAAGTAAGAGGGAGTTTTGAAGAAACTGTAGCGCGCAAGTAAAGGAAGATTCTACTCACATTGATCGATAAAGAATTTTGATATTCAGATCAGGTGACTTTTACGATGGATGTTTAAGTTCTTACCCACAGAATAAGTTTTGAAATATAAACTATAACATGTTTCCAATTCAACTATGGGTGCTTTTAAGCTACCTCTGCAATGTTATTGAGTGTGAGGCCAAGATCCTTCCCTCTTCATATCAATAGCTGAGATAATTTTGGAAATTTCCTTCCTTGAAGTCAGAAGCTACCAATGCTGCTTCATATGGAGCAGCCAACTAATTAGATCTTTAACCACTGTTTAAACATCTTATTTACTTACTTGGGAATTCAGTCACGGGGAACTTCTCTGGATACCGGTTTAGAAATTCTATAACTCCATGGTTTCTTCCCATTTTGTCTGTAGTTCTATTCACTTTTTTGCCCAGCACCAGTGCCTCGTACATCACGTCTATCGCCTGCTTTACTTTATTCATCTTCTCGAGCAAGAGGGCCAGTGAAGTCTTAATAAGGAACTTCCAAGTATGGACCTCCTCTAACTCTCGTTCGGCAATTTGCTCTGCCTTCGAGAGTAGATCCATTGCCTCGTCAAAATTCCCACTTCCCATGTGACAAATTCCAACATTCTTTAGCGTCAAGATACTTTCTTTGCTTCCACCCATTCCTAGGTTGTCGAACATTTCCAAAGCAGTTTTATAATACTCAAGGCAGACTTTAAAGTCGACTTCGGACTTTTGAGCAAGAGAGAAGAAGTGGTCTCCAGTGGTCTTCAGGGTTAAAGCAGTCATAAAATGTTTCCCAAGGCTCTTTTGAAAGAGTTCCAACGCTTCTTTAAACCGTTTTATGGCTACATCGCCCTGCTTAAGGCAGTTTAAAGTATTTCCTAAAAAGAGGAGAGTTGCTGCTCTTTGCGGGTGATCATGAAGCTGTTCATCGGATATTTTCAGAGCCATTGCACTCTCCTCTTCCATTCGTTTGTTCTCTTTGACATCTTTTTTAGATGAAAGGAAGCGAGCATTGCTGTTGTGAAAATAGACTTCTGATAGCGGTTTCGTTGCAAATGCAGCGTCACTCACCAAACGAATTTGTTCTGCTTCATCCATGACCTCTTTGTACTTCTCTTGTTCTCCTTTTTTCCTGTATTCATGACCAACAAGACACAAAAGATCTACTACACACACAGGTTGGATTCCAGAGTCAAAAGTTTTCAATAATCTTTCAAGGATCTTAGTGTAGAATCTTGGGTGAAGACATCTTTCCAAATACATGCATTTCTGAGGAAAACTGTCCAGAAAGAGTTCACAGCCTTTCACGATCTCTGGATCTTGTTCTTCCCTTCCTTGGGCATAAATTTGAAGAAAATATTCGAAATTGTACTTGTCTTCTTGAAATGATACAAGGGAATCCTTGCATGTGTCCTTACTCCAGTAAATATTGGCATTCTTCGCGAGGCGCAACATGAAGTGTACACAAGCCAGTTTTTCGCCCACTGCCAAAAGTTTGTCAAACTGATCTCGACCAATCTTCTTTGCGTATAACTGAATGAGCGGATGCATCTGATATCTGCGCGGAAAGGGCTTCTCCACAAGAGATCTGTCTTTTAAGGAGCGCAGGATGGAGATAGTTAAAGCCCCAGAAATCGAACTTTTCGCCTTCGTCACAGCTTGGACTGCATCAATATCAAATGGACCTTGAAACAAAGATAGGAGGATGAAAGCCTCTTGTTCGGGTTTCTTCAAAAGATCAAACGAAGTCTTAATGGCCTTTTCAACAGATCCTTGGTCGTCCTCTAGAACCACTAATGGTTCCTTTTGAAGGCTTTCTATGAGCGTTTCTTCAGAATAGTCTGATAGCAAGGATCCAACGATGCAAAGTGCCAGAGGAACGCAGCCACATAAATTTTTGGCGATGTAATCTGCCCTGGAAAGGTTCTGCGAAGCATCTTCATAGACTTGCACCCTAGAAATAAGGAGACTTTTTGCATGTTCGGCGGATAAAGGGCCCAACCTGACTTCGCGAGATTGCAAGTCGGGATTCTCAAATGTTTTCCTTGCAGTTATGACAAATGCTACCTTTTGCCTCGATAACCTTCTTACGTCAGATAAGATGCTTATAAATGATTCTCGATCGCTCGACTCGAGGACGCTATCTGCATTGTCAAGAACAAACGTGACCTGGTTTTGGACTTGTTTGCTCCATTCTCTTAGCCACTGCCCCGGATTCTCTGGCACCTGCGTGCTGATTGTACCACACGAGTTGATCATTTCTACGGCCACTTCGTTGAAATTTGTCTTCGTTAGTAAACTGCAAAATAGCACAGTACCTTCGTTCTCTGATTTTGCTAACTCATGAGCCACTCTTTTAGCCACAGTCGTCTTTCCAAATCCAGGTCCACCAGTAACCAGGACAACAGGGACATCTCCACCCTCGGCCATTTTCTTGACACGCTCTATTTCTTGGTTGCGGCCAAATACACCTTCTTCCGGTATTCTGTCCGGTAGACAGCTGCGGAGGCTAAAACTTGACGAGTGAATCCTTTCTTGTTCCTGTATTTTGTTCCATTCTTCGGCTAGTTCCTCCAAAATTCGCTTTGTATCGTGATCGATGGGATCGTTCTTCAGCGCTTCCATTTCCTCTACGTGTCTCTTCCGTAGAACATAGATCTCAATTTCCTCTAAACAAGACGCAATCTTGCTCCACTTGTCCTCGAAATCAACGTTTGCAATTCCTGTAGAGACCCTGTGGCACAGCTCATTTCTTAAGCATTTTATTCGGACGAGGTTTGCCTCCAGGCTATTATCATCGTCTGCAGGCAAGTTGTGCCATCCGGTTGGAGGCTTTGAAAGGTTGCAAAATTCGCGAAGCAAAAAATGTAAAAGTGTAATATCAAACGTTTTCGAGTCCGGTGGGTCACCGGAGACAGGAAATAACATTTTCCATTGGTTTTTAAATATTACACCTTGTGAACATAGCCGTCGAAGCTTTTTCTCGTTGTTGTTTAATACGACTTGTAATTTATCCGTCGGGTAGACAGAATGCAATAAATTGCGTAGAACGTGTGTTCCTCCGTCAACCAGCAGTCGCATTAGCTTCGTGCCATTAGTTTTCTCCTCTGATACATTTAGCACAGAAGATCCAGAAGAAACAGGAGAAATAGGAGAAGAGGCTGTGCCAGACATTATCTTTCGTGTTGTAACTCGAGGAATGGTCTTGATGGAAAAGTCGTTGCGGAAATGTCGTCTGAAAAATGAAAGAATAAGCTTACCTCATCGACGCGTGTGGATGTTTGTCGGACTCATGGTCGCATTTTAAAATAAGCGGACGGAATGCCATCCTTAAACAGAACTACTTTACTAGAGGACAAAACAATTCTAAGAAATAGGAGATGATCTAGTTTCCGAGAAAGATCTTTGGACTTATGAGTGTATAATAAGTCAATCTACATGTGTCTGTCATGCATGAGACTGTCGTAGCATGATTTAAAGGCCCACTTTCACCTTTGAGGCAACGCGCGCCGCGACCCAATTTCCTGTAACACAAAATTCCCAGATTACTGACAACCTTTTAAAATCGTCTTTCTCAAGAGCCATCCTGGACATATAGTCAACTGTTTTACGGTAAATACATTCGCCGTACGCCATTTTACAGTTTCCTTGCGGTATTTCGGATTTTGTCCGGTAGAATCCGAAGAAATTTTTTTCTTAAGTGTCACGCTTGGATCTCTACTCACACTGGGTACAGCTTGGACGGCGAAAAGGACAAAGTTCGAATTTTTTCAGTTTCTAGAAGCACTTGAGGATTATAAATTATAACTCTAACTTGTATTTTAGGCTGACTACAACACAGGCTAAGTGATGGCGAAAATTGTAGAAATTCAAATATATCTGTGCTACATGGTTATTCCGCCATCAGTCATAATTTTCAGACATTAATAATATTGTTCAGTTATTTAGTACCCCAAGGAAACGCAATCAAATCTCAGTAGCTTCTCGATTCAAGTAAAGAGTTGTTTGTATCAAAACAAGAGAGATTAACTATATTTATGCAATCCCGTGTCCCACTGGGCCCCGGTAAGTTCCAAGTATTGGTTCTAGTTTAAGTATTAATTCTGGCACACAGAAGGAATTTTTTTCCTGTGACAAAAATTTTTTTTAAAAATACGTTATGTGCGATGGAGATTTTCATTTCTATCATTTAGAATTATCTCCACTCTTACCGACAACAGTAATCTCAAAATTAGTTCAGATAGCTTATATAAAAAATTCAGAACTAATGGCTTTAATCATTAGGCTCAGAACACTGTAACAAAACTCACATTGTCCAAGATGACCTTTGTTCCCTATGTACTGTTGTGTTCTATACGTAGTTTCCGCTGCGAAATTCTCACAATTAAAATTAAGCGCGAAATATAGTGCGATCCTCATTTGTTAAAGCTAACAAGAGCTGGCTTTGGTCCCATACGGTAAAAAAAGTGATGAAACAGTCTGGGAGCAAATGTGGTCCCGTGTGAAGTTCGTGCTGAAAGCAAGCGCCTAGTGTAAAAGTGCTCATTAGGTCCTACTTAACATGAAAAGTTTTGGTGCCAGCTTTACAACTTGCTCAGACGGCTTTTAAGGGGGGTTAAATTCTGACCCAGGAAATCCAGCATAGAAACGAGGCTAAAACACATAATTCCTCATAACTTTGTTAATAATAGACGAAAATACACCAAACTTGCTCACATGATTGGACATGATCCTCCCTGTTTATTTATGCTAATTTACATAGGTCACGTGACCTTACGCATGAAAGCGAGGCTGAAACACAATTTTCCATAAATTTGTCAAAAAAAATCCTTATCATGCCAAACTTGCTCACCTTAGTCAGTTAGACATCTTGCATCGATTGGTACCACTTTGTAGTGTCACGTGACCCATACATGGAAACGAGGCTGAATATATCTGGTAGCATCGTGTAGGATGGCATTTGTCTTGCCAAATGTATTAACAACTACTAGGCAGATACATATCTGGTTATCCGAGTTCAGATATAAAAACTTCAACTAATCATTGTCCTATGGCTCATAGCACAGGGACGAGACGGATAAAGCAAATACTGCGGAGGCTCCATCTTTTACACATAATCAGTAATTTTGCCAACTTATGATACTGGTTCCATGTATTCATTTTCGCATGTATATTGGAACAAGGGCAGAAAATGAAAATAGCGACTACTGCTATTTTATATATACAGTCATGAAAGTCTTACTGAATATCTATATACATTGTTCTGTTGTCCATTCCTATGGAATTTCCTGTTCGACTTCGTCTTCATCATACTCATCATCATTCTCAGCATACTCGTTCTGACAATCTTCAGAGCACAGACAGAGATCAGTACAGACAAGTCCGGCTTTTTGACACTGACAACGGTTGTTAGAGCAACGGGACTTGGCGCACTTGCATCGGACAAGCTGTATAATTGCCTCTGGAGCTGGTGGAAGATTTGTCATGACTGGTATCCACTTTCCATCTTCATCTTGCCATCCATAGCCTTCTGGTGAGGGCAACACCGGGTTTGCTACATGATCGTTGTTCCAAACAAGAAGCTGGTAGTGCGCTCTCAGTATGGCTTGATGGAGAGCAGCTTGTGTGGGCGGCAATCTCTCAGACTAAGCATGATTTTTCTTAAAGAGGGACCATCTGAGGGCTTTGACAGTTTTGATGTCTGTCTTTGGTTGGTACATCCCAGAAACCAGCTGTTCCACTCCACTTCTTGTGCCGTCATCTGGCTGTTCCCCACAACCGAGGTTAGCAAGAGCTTGCAAGATAGGAGTGCTGGCATTATCAAACTCATCCCAACAAGTGGCTTTTCCCTTTCCAGAGAAACTCCCAGTAACATCTGCTCCGGTCAACGCATGAAATGCTGGCAGTGCAACCGTCTTAGTGGGCCCAAGGGCGTCTGCGATTGACTTCAAGTTGATAACTCTACGACTACTGCCGGTCCCAGTAACAAAGCAAGAGTTGGAGCACAAATCTGGATACCGTCGGAGAGCCAAAACAAGAACATCAGTGTCAGGAGAATATATAGATAGTTGGGTAGCACCTTGAACAGAGGCATCCAGAGCATGTAAAATAATCTTCGTGTCGGCTTCTTCTTGTGTACTTCGTAAATGCCTGACGTCTCTATGCGTTGCCTCACATTCCGTTCCCCATGCCACAACGACTTGTCTCCCATTAGCATTATCCTTCACATTCTTTGCGAGAAACGTAGTAAGTTCGCCCTTGGTCTTTGAATGAGCAAGAAGCTTCTTCATCGGCACCTTGGCGATGTGGGTAGAATCAGTGATGCGATAATAAATGGGAGCATGGCCACCTTGTCGTTTGACTCGTGTTGCTGATTTCAGTGAGGATGGTACATCATATCTGTCGAAGATTATGTGGAGCTCTTGTAAATCATTATACTTTACATGCAAGCGATTCGTGAAATGTTCAGCCAAGTCTCTACAGTTCTTGATCCACTCTGGCTTGTCAAGTGATGGACTTCGGCCATTCCATCAACAATCGCGACTTTGAATCCTGCGGTGATTTCTTGTGTATTAGCACTAGGACCACCTGCCTTCTCTAGGATATGCATAAGGGCACTCTTGCAAGAATAATGCAACATGGTACCATCTCGTGCAAACAAAGATCATGGGACAACAGTGAACTCATATAAGCCAACAGCCTCTTGGATATCAATTTCTGGGCGGCTCTTGCACACCATCGCCAAACAAGCAAACAGATTTCTGTCCTCCTTTAACTCGATGATCGTGTCTTTAGCTTTGACTTTGATGACCTTAGCACTCGTTTTCCAGGTAAGAAGATTGCGCTTCTTTACAGGAGCCCAGAGGTTGATCTTTCCTGTCTTGATCCTATCTTGTACAAAAGCACTGAATAGCTTTCTCCCTTCTTCACTCTGATTAACAAGATCTTTCTTCGTTTCAAATGCTATACATACAGCATTAATATGCATTACAATGAGTCAACGTTATTGTCCTGGATGATGTGTTCACCTTTGGCGTGTTTTGCAATCCAGCCTCATTTCCATGTATGGGGTCACGTGACTCTACAAAGTGGCACCAATCGATGCAAGATGTCTAACTGACTAAGGTGAGCAAGTCTAGCATGATAAGGATTTTTTTGGACAAATTTATAGTAAATTATGTGTTTCAGCCTCGCTTTCATGCGTAAGGTCACGTGACCTATGTAAACTAGCACAAATCAACAGGGAGGATCATGTCCAATCATGTGAGCAAGTTTGGTGTATTTTCGTCTGTTATTAACAAAGTTATGAGGAATTATGTGTTTTAGCCTCGTTTTCTCGCTGGATTTCATGGGTCAGAATTTAACCCCCCTTAAAAGCCGTCTGAGCAAGTTGCAAAGCTGGCACCAAAACTTTTCATGTTTAGTAGGACCTAATGAACACTTTTACACTAGGTGCTTGCTTTAGGCACGAACTTCACACGGGACCTTATTTTATGACATTTGCTCCCAGACTAAAAAGAAAGAATAATTTATTTATCAAATTGTTTTAGGAACGAAGTACGTACAAAAAGAAGAAAAAACTGAAGAAACTGAAGAAAAAACTTAAAGTACTGAAGAAAAAAAAACAATACAACAAAGGAAAGCTAATGAAGCAGTTTTATTCAACGCGACCTGAACAGCTCGGTCTTTATCTCCCCCCATCTGAGTTTTAAACCTCTACGCTATTTCGGATTGTTTAAATCGAGATAAACATTAATTTCACGATATTTCGCACTTAATTTTGATCCAAATTTGAAGTCGCACAAGAAAGGAGAAGCCACCCCTTTCATCGTCTCGCAAGGGAAAGTAACTAAACGATACCCTGGTCAGAGGTGACTTTAAATGTAGACGATTTAAAATCACTTACAGACCCGTCAACACTTTACTAAACGTTACTCAAAGTTCAACTCGAACTCGAACCTACCTCACTACTGATATAAATTTGTCTGGTTTCTATTTAGTATAGCGCTTATATCGTAAATAGGTTGCGGTTGGTCATCGTGGCAAATAATACTTTCAAAAAAGCAATATAATCGTTTGTCTCACGATGTAGTCACTTCGGATGCGATTCATATCCGAAGTGACCAAATCGTGAGACAAACGGTTTCATTGCTCTTTTGAAAGTATTATGGTTGACAGTTGACCTAGAAATCGACCAAAATATCATCAGATATACTTTTATACTTCATACATTGGCAACATGGGAAGGAGACATAAAAAAACAAATTTCTGTACCATTTGTAAGCATCACCTGTGAGCATTAGTTCAAAACTGAGCAATAACTACTGTCGAGAATCTCGTAATATCTCTGTATCTCCAAGTATTCTAAAGAGAAGACAAATCAAACTTTCCTTCGCATAACATGAAGCCGAACTGGACAAACTGGAGAAGATGACGGCCGCTTACTTGCAATGAATAAATGACTCATGTGTTGGCTGGTCTATTTATCTTCAAACGTTGTGGGAAATTTGTCGACGAAAGATCTAACACCCGGGACTAGTGGCTGAGTTTACGTTTTTCAATTCAAAATGCACGTTCACATGATTCTAATTCAGAACTTGCAGCACTTTTAATTTATATCCTTCCTTAAGCATATCAAAGTTGCTCGAGGCAAGAAGAAAAATCAATAGCACTCATCAGTTGTATTCTATCAGCTTGAAAGCCATGAGACTTTCATCAGTTTCATTTCCGATATTTCCTCATCAGCAAACTGTTATTGTTTACATGTGTAGTTCATTCAGCTTGAGTGGTATATTCTGAAACATTACTCACCTAATATTGGAGAACCTCCATTTCGATTTTAAAATAAAGCCAGCTATGTGTACACTTGTGCGAGTCTTGTGAGACTTGGTTTTCTACTAAATTTAGAAATGTTCTGACTAAGTGTTTGGGATTTGTTTAGGCTTGTTATATTTTCTTGAAATCCTTGTGAGAGTCTTGTGACCCTTGGTTTGTCACGTGCTGCAAGACCATACATTTGTTTTTACCTTTTCAGTGATTTGTCCTCAACCATTGTAATATGGCTTAACTCTCGCACGATATTCGTCATCAATAGTCGCGTTTGGGTTTGTCCTTAACCATGCTTAGAGTCGTCAACGGAATGTGATGTTTAGGTTTTGGCGAGTTCTTGAATATTGGTTTTGTACGTACTTTGTTGTTTATTTCGAATGTCTCGTGAAATTGTTTTGGTTAGCATTCTAAAAATAAGTTCACTCTTCCAAGGTCAGTTGTCCCGTAAGCCCAAACATGCCTACCGTTATTTAAAAGCGTGACCAAATGACCGAATGAATTAAAAGTGCTTGATCAGACTTCTAGTGCCTCCGCTGGCACGATTGCTCAAGCTAGTTAACCTTAACAGTCCAGTAATATGAATATAGTGACTTCCAATTGACTTGCATTTTCTTCTTTAAGCAATATTTGCTGCTTAAAGAACGAAGCGATACACGTCTGTATTTAAAAATTAAAGTATTCCGATGACGTAAGGTACCTGTGACGGATTCAAAACATATTGACAAGCAATTATTCCGGATTTTCTCAGAAACTTGGAGAAAATATAAACAAATACACAATGGACTTCTCTCTCGGAATCATTGCTAAGTACACGTCATATGCGATATAATCCATCTATTGTTAGCATGCGAGGGCAAGTCTCAAGTCACGGTTGGATCGGGATCCCGAGTTTTACCTGGAGGTGCATTAAGAGTTAAAATTTCGAGCTGAACGGCGCGGTTTTTACTTATTCGAAGTTTAACGTTTCCATGAAATTTGAAAAACATTTTAAGAGCCGTCTTCACAGAACCGAAAAGATGCTAGACGTGACCCATAACATGACACCATTTCATATGGCAAGCCATACACGACAAAAGTGGGTTGAGTCCAAAATTACCTATCGAGTTTCACTGATCGATATGTGAGATTGGGAAATTACTGCATGAGAAATAGAAATCATTGTACGAGAATAAAAAACTGTCACGCGAGATTTCAAATTACCCATCGAGAATGAAAAAGCATTAATTGATAAAAAGACTGACGTAGTAATATACCGAGAAATAAATATTAACTGTTGACAAAGAGAAATCACTATGCGGATTTATCGACTGCTTTTTCTTAGCCGGTGAGCAACAGCTAGGCAGCGGAGTGTATTTTGGCGGGAAATTCCCTCATCCTCGAGGCGTCCTCGTTCGCTGCCGGAGTCGGGCAAATGGCGCAGCAATCAGAACAGCAACTGCGTCAACTTCCTGAGGAAGTACGAGTATTATCAAAACAAATGACAGTCAACTCAATCAAATGTTACTGCTTAAGTATCTCATGTTTTTGGACACTCGCATGGTAGACAACGTAATCCAAGCTCGAGCCTCCATAACAATGCAAGTTCTACAAGTTCCTCGCATTTTAGACCAATGACAAACATGAGACAAATCGGTACTTCAGATCGCAAGAGAAGAAGAAAACACTCCATTCTTGGCGATTTAATAATACTTGCTGGCCCAACAGTCAATGTTGTACCACAACAGGGAAAGAGGGTGACATTGAGTGAGCACGGCCATGTTCCTAATGCATGTCAATTTTTTAAAGCCATCGTCATGGAGACGTTTGAAGAAACCATTCCTCGCCTTATAGACATAGAAGTCCTTATGTCAGTCCATAATAAGCTCGTTAAGCCAACACTTACACTAGGTCAGAAAGGTATTACTGAGGTTATTTAACAAAATCGCCTTTTCAAAAACAAGAATGCGTATGTAAGGCCAAGTAAAGTGTTGCTGCTCGATCTATCAAAGGTACGATTTGCAGTAACTCGACTTGATTTCTTGTGTAAATCATTGCAAAATTTAAGCAATTAATGAGTAATAAGGAGTAATTAGACAACCATTCGAATCATGCCCAGTACTGCACCTCCAGTATATAATTTGGCTCGAGAGAGAAGGGCTAGAAATACTTATATTGAATCAGGACTAGAGAAACAAATTTCCAATATTAAACAATGAATTGGCTTACAAGTAAAGTAATAATGTCTCTAAAAAATCCATACATGTACTGTTTCTTGTAAATTTATTTGTCTTCAGTTTAATTCTGTTTGTTAATTGTGAAGGATATTGACACTAAAGATGATCTAGAATTTGAATTTGATGATGATGATAACGTGCTAGCAGCAATGTTACCAGATCCAGTGACAAAACTTACAGGCGATCTCTCCTGTGCTGCTTTAGCTGTAATAGTAAATCCTGTACAGAGACTACCTCATGCCACTGAAACAAGTCCAACTTTCACACGAGCTCATGCTTCATCTTCCAGGGTAACACCAAACCCAGACAGAATATACAGCACATCCCCATAGTAGGCTCAACTGGCGCGCAAACTCATGCTATAACTTGTACTGTTACCATAAATCCTTCACAGAGTGTACCCTCTTACACTGAAACAAGTCTTAGTGCTAGACAAGCTCATGCTGCAAACGCAAGTGTAACCATAAATCCCAATTATGAAGTGCCTCTAGATCTAGCGGATGACAGGCCAGTATTTAGTCCCAATAACCAACTCTTATCAGTCGCAATAATGTCGGCGGGTGGGAAGATCTCTGAACTGTTTCCACAGCAGCCACCCATTAAAAGCATTAGTCAACTTCCTGCAGCTGAAGGCTTTTCACAGGATTACGCCATTGATGATGGCCTACTGTGTGAAAAGAAAGTCACAATCCATCGAGTTGCTATTCAGGAAGAAGTGATACAGATATTCAAATATGAAAGTACTTTGAACTACCATATCCACATATTGGCACTGCTGGGCAAGAAGAGGAGTGAGAAGGCAAGGGGATTCTTCTAGATCTTTTAGCATGCTTTTGGCAAAAGTGCTACATATCATTAATGATTGGAAACAATGGAAAAGTTCATTTATTAGGCATGACATGCCTAATAAATAAGAGTGTCATTCCTGAAATTTTACATCGCATTA